CTGCGATGACGACGAGGAGGGACATGGAGGAGGTATTGGGCCTCCTCGGTGGGGGCGAGTGCCCAGACCTGGCCTCCGGATACTTTGAGTCCTCCTTCCTGGGGGAGGAATTCTCGAGTGATGGAGCCCTTGGTTTGGGTCTGGTCCCAGTCGGGGAGCCCATCCGCCTTTACGACGCGGGGGAAGGCCGCGCGGAGCTCGTGGCGGGTGGACCCACGGACGACGGGCGGGACCGTGATCGGGGTGCGAGGGGCGCGCTCCGGCTAAGGGGGGACGTCGGCGACGGGGATAATCCGCCGCCGGTCTCACCGGCGCACTATGGGCTGGGGTACCCGAAAAAAAGGCCAAAGTAATTTTCTATTTTTTCGTTACCAAAGATAGTTTCACTGTTTATAGACATGTTAAAGTACACTTTACCAAAATTTCAAGTCAGTTACAGCTATTTGTCTCGAGATAGCAGACGGTCAAACACGAAATAGTAACAAAAAATGTTAACTATCAATTTATATCAAAAATGTGATTTTTCATGACACATAATTAAATTTCAATTAACCTATTTCTGTTTTATGTAAAGGAAGGTTACACATGTTAAAAACATGACCCAAACAGAAAATAGTCTTATTACCAGTTACTCTATGCCTAAGTTTTATGTTCACCAAGCTGTATTTAATATTATTGTACCATCTTCCGTTTAACAATTCCCCGAAATTCCCCTAGATATTCAACTAAACAAAATGTTAATGTCTTGTTTAGAACCTATACTAAATGACAGGTATGCACATTTTTGCACATATTTCGATAAAGGACTAAACAATGCGAATATGTACGTATATGCATAGACAGTGTGTTAACCCATTAAATCCCAACAGCATGCTTTTTCGAGGTAGTTCTTATTATGTGTTATTACTAAAAAATCGGTCTTAAAAATAGTCTTACATATGTTCTATTGATATTTCCGAGATTGGATCAAGAGTAGTCTAGGTAGTGAAAAATTTTGCACCCATCGACCCTTCAAATCTTAAAAAATGTCGATCCTTTCAATAAAAACAGTATTTAATACCACCTATGTTTTGGCACACTAATAGTATTATTTTATAATTACATAACTACGTCCGATCCACGAACACATCTCATTCGTTGCGCATACGAGCATATGGATAGTGCGATACGCGATCACTAGGGGGTTCATCAAATCTATTAGAGAAGTGGCGCGCCGTTTGGTATATGTTGGCGGTTATCGTAGCATTTTCATTACCGTCTCCCAGTTTATTTACTTCGGGAATATTTTTCTTCAATATTAAATAGATTCTTTGCCATGCAATAAATCACTACTGCAGTAAAATGTCATCCAAAATGATAAAATTTTCAAAAAGAGAGATTTATAAACAAATCTCTGATAATCAGGATGTTACGTCGTCCGTGTTGTGAATTATATTTTATCTAGACTAGAGATTCGCTTTGAAGATGTTAGTCTTTCCAATTTGATGAAATTGAAATTAGCTATAATGACACTAAAAACAAAATACAAACAGAAATATGCATCTGTTCATAGAATGAGAACAAGATTTGAAGAAAAATATGCCTCGTGGCTCGATTCTGAGTTCCACCTTCCTGAGTTTAAGAAAAATAAAATTATTAACGATAATGCTTCTACGTCTACGCCTTCGACTTCTAATTTTTCAGATTCAGGTCGTCATAACATTCCTTTCGAGAAGAAATCGGTTCGAACGAAACGACGAATAGCTGGAGGTATTAGCGCTAGCGTCAACCATGATCCACAAACATTAATTGCAGCATGCCGTTATGCTGCCAGGCGCTCTGGGGAGAAAAATTTATATTCAGAGCTGGCTAAATTATGACAATCGCAATGCTCAGAACCGCTGAAAAAAGCCAAAAAGATTACACCAAAAACGCCACTTGAAGCCTTAGGTTTTATCTTAGACAATTCTCTATCCAAAAGTGTGTATATAAATATGCGTTTAGAATCTAAAGAATGTGGTGCTGATATATGGCCTCCCTATGATGCCGTTAGAGCAGTAAAGGCTGAATGCCGACCGCCAAAAAATGAAGTTTCCATCACAGAAACTGAAGCTGATGTTTCACTGCAATCACTTTTGAATCAGACCGCAAAACGAATTTTGCATATGCAAAAAGAAGTGATATTGCATTGCGTAGAAAAAACTTCCTGTACGGATATCGACGTTGTTCTTATGTGTTCGTGGGGGTTTGACGGAAGTAGCGGTCATTCGGTTTATAAACAAAGATACCAATCTGTTGACAATGAAAATCTAAGAGATGAGGCTGATGAAAGCATATTTGCCACAACACTCATACCATTGCAGTTGCTTTCTGATTCAAGTAATATAGTGTTATGGTACAATCGAATGCCGCAATCAGCAAGATTTTGCAGACCCATTAAACTGCAATATGCTAAAGAGTCAGCAGCAATTATTAAATTACAGAAAAAAAATATTGACGAGCAGATTGATAAATTAGAGATATTTGAAATTTTAATCGATAATATTCATCGAGTAAGAGTTCATTATTTGTTATTCCTTACTTTAATAGATGGTAAAGTACTGAACATAATTACAGAAACAAAATCTACTCTGACATGTCCTATTTGTAAAGCAAAACCGATGATTTAAAAAATAAGATAAAAGATATTTTTCTTCCTGATTGTAACGCATTAATATTTGGAATAAGTCCTTTACATACTTGATATTTGAATGTTGTCTTCATATTTCATATCGAATTAATATAAAAGAATGGCAAATTCGAGGCGAGGAAAGAAAAGAAGAATTTTCAAGACGAAAACGTGAAGTACAAGCTATTCTTTTCAACAAGTTAGGAATTATAGTCGACAAACCCAAACCAGGGGGGTTTGGAAACAGTAATGATGGGAACACCGCGCGTAGAGCATTTGCAGACCCTGATGTTTTTGCAGAATGTCTCGGTCTTAATTTAGAATTAATAAAAAATTTGAAAACTATTTTAATTGCACTATCTTGCCAACTTCCCGTGGATCCTTTACGATTTGATGAATACTGTTTTCGTACAGCCGAAATTTATGTTGCTAACTACTCTTGGTACCCAATGTCTGCAACATTACACAAAATACTTATACACGGTGCTGATATCATTAGAATAAGCGTACTTCCAGTGGGCATGCTTGGCGAAGAAGCTAGTGAAGCTCGGAATAAATTTTATAAGCGTTATCGTGAATTCCACAGTCGAAAGTGTGGACGAAAGGAAAATCTTGAAGACGTTTTTTATAGAT